GACAGATTAAATCTCAGCACAGTTTCATCGGGGTCACACAAGGGTGTGTTGGGAACGTCTTCGCTCCACGCTGGTCAATCCTCCTTCGAGTTACAATGAGGCCATCTAACCTTTGCGTATAAGTGAAAAGTGGAGTCGTGCAAACGCACAAAGGGACTCTTCGAAGCGTACACAGACATACAGTTGGGCTGTAATGAGTAGAGTGAAATGCCCTTAAAGCCAAATAAGGTAAAACGTTCGAGAAGACCGGAAGAGGCTCTTCGGACGGAAGAATGAATCCTCATTGTCAACATCCTTTTGGGGAAAACTGTTTGTCTGACCCCACTCTCGCATTGACCATACGTACAGAAAGAATAGGAGGGGCCTATTGTAGCCAAGTGTTATCCTCTCATCTGGCCCGCGATGGATACAGTCTCAGTCATTTATTCAGCCTTCTATTCTATACAGTCGCTGGATCGTCGCCAATCCTAGTCGACTATCACACTTCTTCCCACCCCCGATATACTCCTTCCCCGCACACTCCCTATCAGACGCCCTCTTACCTCGCAACTATGACAAAGAGCCATTATCTTGCCTTATTCCCTCAGTCATAGGCACACCCAATCTTAGTGTCCCCTGGCTTGTTGCACGCCCCGACTATGTGAAGAGGCCCTTGGTGTGTCTCGTGAAGAGAGGGCACATGACTATGATTTCCCTTTTCCGTCCGGCGTCATCATTACAAGTGGCCCTTCTACTCGGCCACCCCGACCGACGCCACGTTGCGGGCACCATGTCGGCCTGCGAAAGGTATGCTCCTTCACGGCGTATGGTCATTTGGAGGAAGACACGCTATACAATTTGCTCGGTGTCATTGTTGAAAAATGAGCCCCAACTATGAACAGCCTCAGTGTCAGTCTAGGAGAGTGGGAGACTGTCACACTCAAGCTGCCCATTACAGATTACCCATGTGGCTGTGTCTATGTAAAAGGTTTTGCCCTCTAACGTATGAAAATGTTATGCAAATTAAGTCATCTCTACGGTAGAGCATTTTGGGGCAATGCTAACAGTTGGCCAACCAGTTGGTCAAACTTGTGCTAAAACATGCCGGCTGAAAAAGCAAACATTAATTTCGGTTTTGATGTGATCTAGTTGTTGCAATTCTCATTTTTCTATTAGGAACCAAGACGGGATTTGCAAATTTACCCCAACGAAGGCAAAGTAGAATTTCTGTGCAGTTGCAAAACCACACAAAATTGCATTGCATGGTATAGCATGACTTCATCGGATCCGCAGGATGATGTTCCGTGGAGCTAATCAAATTTATCGGCGGTAACAACTTCATGACAAAACTTCTGTTTCAGATGAGGCAAATTCGCAAATCTCTTCCACCAGCCCATCATCCAAAATAATTGTATTGACGCGAATCTATTAGGGCAGTCTTCAAAACTCACTTTTATCTACAATTATTTTATGTGATATTTCCTTCTTTTTTTCTTTTTTGCTTATTCACCTCTTTCGTTCCGGCAAATCGACCAAACTAATCTGCAGGCTGTGGTCAGAAATGAATATTATTATTTGCACGATTATGATCCTGGTTTGAATCCCGTTGGGGGTGCTGACGAAACCAGCCCAGGCGAGGTCGAAACTGCAGTCCCTTCTCGTCTGGACGAGAATACCTTTTGAGAAGCAAGGCTGTGTAAAATTCAATGGAAGAGCAAGGCCTAATTTTTTTTAATGGGAAACTCTAACTATTAGTCATTTATTACTTTATGTAATCTGGGATGAATGATGAGGCTCTTGTTGCTGTAGCATTCGTTTGGCAGATGGAAGTGATTTCTGACTTGACCTTACACGCAGCGGATGAAGGGTTGCCTTGGAAATTCAGATTGATTCGAAAAATTTCTTGACTCCGTTCTGCAACTTCGATGATTCCCTGCAAGACCGGAAAGAACGTAATGATGAAGTTTCTTATGTGTTTCATTTATGACTCTGACAATGTCACAGATGGACAAACGAAGGCTCAGAACCTATATTTCGGTCGTGTTCGCTAAGATCTACAATCAGAATAGCAAAAGCACTCTTTTAAGAGAGGCCAAATGTTGCATCTTGTTGCGCAAGAAATTATTAAGAAAATATTCAGGAGCCACTTCCTCTTAATATGCCATAGTTTCTTTTTGTAATTAAAAAGGAGGAATCCCCAAGGTCATATGTTTTTGCGTGAATTAAATTCATCAAAAGTTAAGTTGAAAAGGCCTGAATTCCCTATCGTTTTGGCACTAAGTAGAGTTTTCTTAGTGTTCACTTGAGGCTTTTACAAGAATGAGCAACAGTTATGACGATGTTCATCACGTGGCGAACGAAAGCTCAGCCTGTCTTCGCCCAGAATGTTGGAGGATACCTCGTGGACTGCATTAACTTGAACGCCATGTTAATGCCAAATGGCTGCAGTACAGCGATAATGAGCCGACGTTCTATGGTGAGATTGACCTACGAATCTTTTCATAATGTACTTCCATACGAAACGAAAGTGTTGACATCAATCCTATTTTATTTCTTTCAACGGTCCTATTTCTATATTAAGCCTTGGAGCCTTAGTTTCTTCGGATAACTAATGCTTTCAGTTGTTTTAAAATTGTTAAAGAATTCACAATACTCTCTTTAAACTAATCAAGTTATATGATCTCGTATAAAGATCTATGTTGTGTGCTAAAAGAATAGGCCAAGGAAATCCCGGTATACCTAATTGTTAGGCCTTGAGTGTTGTTAAATTTGTGGAATTACCGATTTTTGAGGTCCCACATAGCTTCACAATATCATATCATTTTTCATAGACCGACCTCTATAAAAGGTTTTTTTATTGCAGACTGGAATGTACTTTGACCTGGCCTTAAGCTTATCTGATCACACAACATAATAAGAAATCGTTTAGTGTATATCGGGTGATAAGCTAACACGTCCATCCTATAGTCGTCAGATGAATGGGATAGAATCCCCTAAAAAATAGCCTACAGGTTCTCGAATTTCTATTTCATCTCCACCTTTGGTAGACGATTCTCTATGATTTTAACATGCTTTGCTTTCCTTTGAACAAGATGTCCTTTGATCATTTTGATGGCGCTCAAAGCGAAATTGGCTCTATTTTCTTGGTTCTTGCATCCGCTTAATGTCTTATTGCTCCTCTTATGTTCTCGCACACTTCACAGCAAGGTGCTAGTATTTTTCCATCATTTCCTTGCTCATATTTCCTCCTACTTACATTAGAAACCCGCTGTGCTCTCTTTAAAGAGGCTGGGAGTCAAAGAAAAGGAAGTTTGGTCCCAGTTCCTATCAACCCCTCCCACTCATTTCAAGTAGCCGTTATTCACAATTTTTAGAATTCGACTTCTTTCTTCCTCTATCTACTGCCTGCCTCTTACATATCTCGGACTAACAAAATAATCCCTGAGGGTAGGCTTCAACCCTATTAGTAAATCTTAAATAAGAGCTCCATTTGCCCCAGGTGATATAGGCTTGATGATTGAATTCCTCTCACAAGAATATGAATATACCTCAAGTTGCATCGAAAGTGGAATTCAATAAAATGTAAATGGCTCTTTTATTTTTTAATGTATTCCCTCATATATTTTTTATTTCCGGATAAAGGCTACAAAAGTTAAAAGCTGATCTTGACATCTTTGACAAAAAACAATCCTTTAGGTCAATGGGGGAGGAAAATGCAAAATATGTGCGAACAGTAACTTCAATTTTGAGCTCTTGCTAAATATAAATATCTTTTACTGTCTCATTAGTATTGTTGCCAAGCTGTGCTGCGTCAATATGTACTGCGAATGAAGGTGCCTGTTTAAATTCTTTGGCAGACAAAGGTGGTAAAACGTCTCAAGATGAGAGATATGGCATAATAATCAACTTCCATGACAATTGGAACATGAGAATTCTGAAGTAGACATTTTAGCGACAGACCATAGGTTCAAATTCTGTGGAAGATGTAGCTGGAAGCTAGTAACTCTATACGATTTAAAGCTGTGCTGCATCAAGCAGGATTTGCCCTCCTGGTGTACCAGGACTTTCTAGGCTCACTGCTATGAAAGCACTTTGCGTAGTGTATCGAGTCAGGCTATTATTATGGGTTTATTGTTTGCCGCTATCGGATTTGGAGTAGGAATAACTTAATGCCATGCATCTGGCTGTTGCTGCGTGTGGCCAGGAAGGATAGCGTAGAACGAGGAAGAAACCAAGTCATATGAGATCGTTGAATACGATGCAAGGATTGATAGTTGGAATATTTACAATGAAATAAATCAACCTAAAGTTTATACAGTTTTACTTTCCAAAAGTGGCCCTCATTACGACCTATCATTAACTTTTAACTCTCCTCGTTCTCGTCAACTCTTCCAATGGGATTAGAAACGGGGTCATCCACGTAAAGCGGAGACGTCTTCACTCTGTTATGTTTGTGACTCTCTCGAAAGGCAGAAAAACCGCCAATTCTTCCAATGTCATACTGATACGCTTGATGCTATCCTGTTTTCAGTCCTGTTGAGACAGCAAACGTAGCCTTAGAAAGGTTGCAACTGCAGTCCATCCAGGTCAACAAAGCCTAGGTTTAGGCAGACGGAAGTGAACTCTGCAAGCATCATGAGGCTCAAATGAGGAGAGTTGCCCTTAATAATTCTGCACTTCCCATCGAAATTGTACTTCTTGTTAACATTTCACTTAAAACGCAAACCACATCGATGGTTGCTTGCCGTGAGAAGGTGCGAAAAGTGAAGGATCCTCGTAGAAAACAAGAGATGAATTTCATCATAAGGAATATTCTCAACCGAATTAGACTGCAGTTTTGGTGACTTCTTCGCCTTATTCACTTCTCATAATAGGCACTTGGTTCTGTGTGTTCATATTTATGGACATTTAGACACTTTAAAAGCCAATTTTATGAATAATGAACTTGCGTGATAACGAAATTCGTATTGTAAGAAAAGCTATTAAGATCTTTACATAAGGCAATACGCTGGATTTAATGCAGGATCTCAAGAAGTTGCGTAAGAGATAATGCTATCAGCTACTGGAGGCAACCAATTTGTTCAATGGATGTCCTAAATATATTGAACTTCATTATAAAAATCTTCCAAGTTCATCAAATCAGCCAGAGGCTTGATCGGGATTACCCACCATCGTGCTTTGATGGTTCTGGACTGAAATTAAGTTTCGCTCAAATCGTTTTAAGTTGGATGCGAGTATTTTTTAGCAATTTTTAATAAGCCTTAAGTGTGTACCTGAGTCCTTCTAGGTCAATTCAAGTGTCGTATGAATCGCCGGTTGGATTTCCCTCAATGAAATAAAGGCTATGCCTCATAATTTCATTTAATTTAACACATTATTGTCTTACAAATGTTGCTCACAATCCTATAGAATGTGCCCTTGAACAACATTCAACTTTGCAGTACAAAAGATGTCTTAATGAGTAATCTCAATTATCAACGGCGCTTTCTTACTCTAACTTGCAATGAAAAACACACGCACACCCATATATATATATATAAACAAACAAATAACAGGGACTAATTAGTAAATTCTAGCTCTCCAATTAGTCAACGTTTTGGGATATTACTTTGAGTTAATATTTAATTTTTGTTGATGACCTTCGTCTCATTTCAGTGTCTGATGAAGGGATTTCAAAATCGACTTCATCAGAAGACGAAGATTGGTCTCTGCCTTTCTTCAATCGCTTGATTCTACAACGATCTCCATGTTAACTTAGCCGATGGAATTTCTCTTCTTGGTTCAGGTGAAAGCTAGTTGAACTTTCGTATGTCATGTTAATTGAAGGAGCTAGCTGAAAAAGTTTCACGTTAACACCAATTCAGGAAGACTAGTCTATTCTACCT